TCCTCACTTCTTAGCTCCCAACTCTCCTCATGTCTCTCTAGAGTGCTCATCACTTTTTAACTTAGTTGTTATTTGGTTTCTGTTTCTTCAGGCAAAATTTAAGTTCCACGAAGACAAGGCAAAAGCAGGTTTAGATATCTGTTTGACTGACCCAAGGAAAGATGGAAGAGCAGTCCCTGCAAGCCAGTTGGAAGGCAAAGTGTGAAGTCAGGAACTGGCCAGGGGACAGAGCATGGAGCCCAAGGAGGGTAGGGACAGCCTAGAGCTGGTACAGAGAGCTCTACCTGGGCACTGCAGTAACACCTTCCCTCAAGCACCACAGGCATGAAGCAGCCCTCACGTGCCTCACATGGGACCCTCGATCTAGGATCTGGATCTCAGAGCAGACAAACGAGCACATCTTGGCCCCATATAGCACCCATCTAAGGACAGTCTTTCCTGGCTTTCCTCTGTCAACCTGCAATTTTCTCTTCCTGCTGTTGTGCAGACCCTCTGCACTGGACCACATCTCTGGCCAGGCCACCCTGGGCCACAGTGCAGCCCTCCCTGAGATCTTCAGCAGCTAGTTTCTGTCCTGTTTTTCCTCAGGTTCCCCAGCCATGCACTAAATTCTCATCTGTCACTCTTGAGTGAATGCCTAGATTGAGACCAGATCCCTAGTGAAATGATACGTTCATCTTTCAACTAAATGTAGCGCCTTCTCACTGATGCTGTGGTCTCTATCCTCTCAGTTGGGCCTGCTTGGGTCACTGCTGCATCCTGTGCCCCACCCCATGTTCGACACACAGCAAGCCCTCAATAAGCATCTGCTGATTAAACAACTGTCTCAGTCAGCACATGGACCACACTCCCAGCTGTGCAGATCAGAAGATTCAGCATCAGCACCAAGGTGATGGCCCCTGCTGGCCAGGAAGGATGGAGAGGTCAAGAACACCTCACATGACAGGGAGAATCTCGCTTTCCTTTCATGGGCATGTGCCCTTCCTTCTCCCAGAAGAATAAGCAGATTGTTGGGTGGGCACAAGTGACCCGAGTTTCCTCTAAGCCAGGGCTGCTTATCTGGCATACTAACCACAAGGATCAAAGGGCAGCAAGAACTTGGGGACAGTCTTGGAAACATGATAGTCCCTAGCTTGGCCCTGAGAGCAGGAACTGAAAGTGCAACTGCCAGCAGCCATGCCCAGGGATCCCCCAAGGCCTCCCTAACCCTTTCGCCTCATGGAGTGGTGGCTGGTCTCTGGACACTCCATCAGCACTGAGGCCCCAGCCCCCCGAGAGTACCACTGGCTAAAATGCCTAATCTGAGTCACCTCATCTAACCAGCCACCCTCTTTAAGTACAGCAAATGCCGCCTCTGCCTGGCCCATAGCTGCATACCTGGAAGGTTCTCAGAAGGGCATGCCACTTCGTGTCCACGGCTTCCCGAGAGGTCTAAATCCCTTAGAGTATCCAGACTGGGGTCTTCTGGACCTTATTATGTATAAGGGATATGAACACCTATCAATTGGGGTATCTGCGGACTCCTTGGACACTGAGGCGTGACAATACTTACTCCTAATGAAGGACTCAGGCAGAACACAGCCCACCTGTCGTATGCACTGGGCCTGAGATGGGCAGCTCACCAGATAAAACAATGTCCTGCAGCCATTCATTTATTACAGGACATGCCAAATCAAGGCTTATGGAGACATGACCTTTGATTGCTCACAGCATAAACCAAGCCCCCAGAAGACAGTCAGACCCAGAACCAAGGCAGGTGATTTCTACCTACAAATTCAGCAAAAGTAGCACTGTAAAAGATAACACCTCCAACTGGTTTTTGCTGGCACGTTTGTTAACTGGCTCCCAGAATTTAAAAGGTACAATGGACCCTTGACTTACAAACTCAATTTATTTGCAAAGGCTGGTTGTAACTCAAGTTGGTTGTAAGTCAAGACTATTTTTTTTCCATAAGAAATCATGAAAATACTCATGTGTTCCAAACCTCTCAAAGCTAACTGTAATTAATCTTTTCACAATTAAAAAAGGTTGATTATTTAATGTGCATAGTTTTCCAGAAACACCAATATTTTTCCTAGTGTATTCACCAAAAAGTTATAAAATGTGCCTAGTTTACCAGAAACAACAATTTCAGACTGGACTCACCATTCAGATTGACATCTTTGGCTTGCAAGAAGGGAGAATGAAATGAAAGGTGGTTATGTTTGGACGAATCCCTTCCATAAGAACATCAGGAGTCTGACTCTCTGGTATCCTTTCTCTCCTTGAGAGAGTCTGTAGTTCACTAGGACCTATTTTGGGCTCACTATGTCTCAACTTTTTCATCGTCTAAGGTTCTCTGTTCATGTCTTTTCTTTAGCTTTTCCAACATCATGAGTCAGTGTCCCTTACCCCACCTCTATTTTTCTTCAGGACTGAGGAGCCAATATACACTGGGACCAAGACGGGGTTGGATAGTCAGGATCAGGCTTGGGGAAGAGCCAGCCTGGCTCCCACAGACCCACTCCACAGACCCACAGACCCACCCACTCCTAAAACCCAAACTCTTATCCCCAAGTGCAGCATGACACCTTTGTTCAGCAGCCCAAGGTTCACATCAGGGTGAGACGGGCTTTTAGCCAAGAACCTGACTCCTTCAGACACTTTCTCTCCAGAAAAATGCTGACTCTGACCTGGAGCACAGTCCAACAGGTGTACACACAGGGCAGCTCACCTGCTTCTTGCTAGTTTAGCAACAGCTCCCCGAAAAACACCTGGGTTAAGAATTAGAGCTAGGCATTCCTATTCATCCTTGGAAGCTTGTCCCCCTTCCCACCCACACCTTGTTTCCTCAGTCACTAAGGGTTACCCAGGAAAGCAGGCCAGGATTTACAGCAATTGCCTCTTTCATTCATTCATATGACACCATTTCACCAAGCACCAATCACACACTGCCTCCCCTGACCCTCACTCTGGTAGACTCCTATACGCAACCAAAGCCAGCTCCCTGGGAGCCCACCACTAGGACTAGAATGTTCAGTATGCATGACACACTGTGAGCGCTGTGCTAGGGGCCTTTGCTGGGAACATACTCAAACCTCCTCCCAGTAAGGAAGCCACTGGGCTCTGGCTTATGCTCAGGCTCTAAGTCTCTGAGGGAAGCTCTGTACCAGCCTGGGGTGGCTTTTCCCAAGGAAGCCTGGGACAGCTGTGGAAGCACCCCATACCTGTCAGGTTTCCCAATCAATATGGCAGCTCTCCAAAATCTCCACCTCACCCAGCCTGTGTGATGACCCAGAGAACCAGCTCTTCTGTAAGAGCCCTCAGCTCGGCTCCAAATCACCAACTTGATCTTTATACGTCAGGGAAAGAGCCCACTTTAGACCATCCTGGGGCTCTGAACCAAGTGCAGCCCCTGAAACTTCCTGTGACTGCCTGGTCAGTTGAGATAGAAAGGTAACAGACTTACACCAGATACCAACCCCATGCCCATTTCTCACTCTGCTCCTTAAGACAGGACCACAGGTTGGGTTCATAGCTCTCATTCTGACACCCCTGCCAGCCAACTGGAACTTTGCACAGTTCTCTATCTGAAATGTGTCTCATTGCTTAAGGTCTAGCAAATACCATCGAGGGAATGAAGACTTCCACACTTTTGCTGTGACCTTAGAGCCTATGTCCGTCCCCCTTTGGCACACCAAAACCAGAGGCAGACAGACAGACGACAGAGATTCATGTGTCCATCTTCCTCTGTGGTCTGGGAACATCTATGGGTAGGCCCAACGCTGTTTCTGGAGGTGCCCAATAAATATTTGATTTGCACATTCAAAGTTCTCCCAATCCTGAGGACCAACTGAGAGCCTACTTTGCTGCATTCTGCCACACCGCCTAAAGACCACCAGTTTTTCCATCCTGATTTCAGTTCCTAACCTGATACTGGAGTGCTCCTCTCTCCTATTCCTACCTTTCCTGGTGCCCTGTAGACCACACCAACACTCCTTTCCACTAAACTTGGTCCAAAGGAGCACGCACTTTCAAAAAGCAGAGCCAAGAAGATTAAGTCTTCTAGACCTTCAGGACAAAATCTGCCACACCCTCTAGGGCAGGGATGTCCTTCTCTCTTTCCTATCTCCGGGACGGTCTGAATTCTCAATCTTTATCCCTTGACCTTTGCTCGCTCGGATGTTTCCTCATTTGGGATATTCTCCCCAGCACTTGGATGAGTCCATGGTCTACAGTCCTTCCTCCCATACGGACGATCCACCATTCTTTCATTCCCCGATACAGTATTATGGGGCACCTACTGTGTGCAAAGCTCTGCGCTAGTAAGCCCCTGCCCTTTCCTTCTAAATGAGAGAGAAAACAAGTACAAATGAATATACTTCATAGTTTCCCGGGTAGTAAAGGCTACAAAAGGTGTGTAGTTAGGGAAGGCTTCTCTCAGGAGCTGACATTCGGGTCCTAGTAGGAACTGGGAAAGAGATTCCACTACCATCTCAAACACTGCAGCCTCTAGGGAAACGCCTGGGGGTCTGGTACCCGGGGGTGGCCACTTTTCTGTTGGAGGGGCGTAGCAATGCACACGCATGCCCACCTGAGCTCCTGCCTTGGACACTGGAGCCGTCACAAGCTCACTGGTGAGGCCAGAGCGCTAGGGGAGCCCTCAGGCGCCAGTGGGCGGAGGGGAGGTTTGAGCTCCAGCACTGGCCGGGGCTTGGAGCGCGCACCTCGCCGCTCAGCGTTCTGGAAGTAGCGAGCTGCCCTCAGCCACACAGAAAGCCCAGCCCGGGCCGGGGGCCTCAGACCCACTGTCCAGTCAGGGACGCAAAGCCCCTTCTCCACGCAGGCGGGCAAGAGCGCCAGAGAACAGCACTCACCGCTCAGAGGACGCCATGTTCGCGGGCAAGAAGTCACGTGAAGTGCAGCGTCTGCTGAAGCCGACCCACCTTCCACTGTAGGGGGCGGGGCTAGACGGGGGCGTGCTGGGGCGGGGCCAGGAACGTCTGCCCCGCCCCCCCAGCCCCGGCTCCGCCAGACCTCGCAAAGCGGAGCTTGGAGAGGCAGAGAAGCTCATTGCTAAAAGCCCCAGCTCAGGGGAAGTGAGGAGGGAGCGGTGTCCCACGCCTTTTCGAGAAGGGTGGGAGTGTCCTAAGGTAGTGGACAGCTTGACTCTGGTCAACTCTGGACCTGGCATCCCAGCCCACCCGCGGGAAGAACACAGCAATAAAGAAACCATGAGAGAGGAGAGGAGGTAGACTCTAACCCAAGCCAGGGCTTGAGAAAAGGCTGGGGCAATTGGAGGAACCCACTGAAACCTTAGCGTCCGGGAGAGGGATTGTAGGGAATGAGATGCAGCCCCACAGGTAAGTAAAGGCCAAAGCCTATCTGGAATTGTGTCTGGTCAGATCTTTTCCGAGCCCTCTCAAATGCATAATGTAGAAGAACATGGAGGGAGGAGACCAGAGACAAGGTCTGGGGTGGGGTTCTGGAGAGCTTGCTTCCTTACCCGGGTGAGCTGATGTTAGTTCAGGACTCTACAGAGGAGAAAGAATCAGGGGCGAAAAATGCTGCCCTTCCTACTGCCAACAGGTTAGGACATTTACCAAAACCAGACAAATGCTTTGCCAATGTTAGCTCATAGAAGGCGCCCAGAAGCCCTGAAAGGTAAGAACTATCCTTAATTCCATTGCACAGATGAGGAAACTGAGGCCCAAAGGAGTGACATACCATATCTCACACAGGTCTAGGTATCCTTGAGACCTTGGAACTTCCCATGATTAGCAGTTCCACATTCAGCCAGAGACTAACTCCCTAATGAGGACACTTTTTAAAATAACAAAGGGTGCACAGAAAGCTATTAATGCCACTTTGCAGAAAGAAAACCTGCAGAAAGAAAACCCAGATAATCACAGCCTTCCCTAGCACCACTTCTTATGGTATAAAATGTGTCAAAATTAAGCAACTGCCACTTCTGAGTGCTCATTAATATGAAAAAGAGGTAATTGCCCCAAATATTTACAAAATAATAGAGGCAGTTGAATGGAACACTCTTGTCTGTGGGCAGGAATAAGGAGGCCCTCCTGGTTGCCCAGCCCCATCTGGACAATGGGCCTCTTAGGCAAGGCCTGCCCTGCTGGTAGCTCGGACAGCCTGGCACTCCTCACCCCAATTCTCCCTTCCACTTCAGAGGCTCCTCGCATAGGCCTGCTCCTCCACTCTCATCCCCTCTCTCCATCAAAGACTCAGGCAAGGCTTCTCCTCCACCTCCCCACTCCTAGTCCCAACCCCCAGCCCTCAGGATTCCCCACCAGAGATGTACCAGGACTTCCTCCTCCCTCTCTTTTGCTGCCTGTCAGAAGCTCTGGCAGGGGCTCTGGGAGAAGCGGCTCATGGTGTGGGAGAAGATTACATAGTTACTCATGCAGGGCAGACCCAGGACACTGCTGGGAGCCGGGAGGCAATTGGGGAAAGATTGATTTTAGAGAGTCGGAATGGGAGTGTGTAAATCAGCTGAGAGAAAGTGCCAGGCAGCACATTCATGCCTCACACAGCAGAGCATCATTGTTGACTCTGAGGTCCCAGGCTCCGCATGAAACAGTCTGCCCTCATGATGGCTGAGAGGTGGCTGGAGGTGTCTGTGCTCATGAACATCATTACTTCATCCTAGGACAACTCCTTTGTCTCTGTGACACTATGTCAGGCTGCTCTGCTCATCCCCTCTTGTAGCTCCACGAACGCTGTTGATGTCTAGCTGTCTGGAGATGGCAAGACAGCCAGCCTTTGACTCATGAGCCACCCTTGAGCCATTCAGGGGTGCCCCTAGAAGAGCCAGGATGTGGGCCCCATTCCTCTCCTGCTATATGTTGAAGATGCTGTTCTCCTGCAAAGTCTGTGTGACCACACTGGAGGTAGCCTAGAAACTGTCTGTGACCTAAGCTGCAGAACTGTGGCCCACGCCTCCCGGCTCCCAGCAGTGTCCCAGCAGTGTTCCATCACGCTATGATGGAACATGCCATATGAGTCTCCATCCCAGGGCTCTGGGGGAAACTCAGTAGTGGTAGAACATGTGCTTAACATGCAAGAGTCCTGGGTTCAATTCCCAGCACCAGGGAAAAAAGGGGATCTCTACCAGCCTCTTAATAGTAAAGCCCCACACCAGGTGGCATTTGAATTTCTGTGGTTATTTGTTTGTTTTTACTGAGAATAGAAAACTGGGCAGAGAAAACCAGTGCCAAATAGACTGGAAAAAAAAAAAAATGAGTGTGTGTGTGATAGGTGGCAGGGAAATGTATTCCTACAGAGCCTCTTCCTGGATGGGAAACAGAGGGGTGTGACAGGCATGACATGCCCAGGTGGCTGTCTTTCCATCACCACTGATTGGCAGATTCCTGCCTCCAGCCTTTGTGAGGTCAGCAGCTGTGGCAGCTGCAGCTATCCCAGTCTTGAGACCAACAGGGTCTGCGCTGTCCTCTAGGGCCACACCCTGTCTGTCACCATCAGCCCCCAGAGGAGCCTCCATATTATGCCTTACTCCTCCTTTGCTCCCTCCCCACTGCCAACCCACTTGGGCTTCTATCTTCCTGCAGAAAAGAAGCTGGCAGCAGCTGAGGGGCTTTCCCCAAGAAGCCCTCGTCACCACCTCAGATGAAGTGGTCCCTGCTGGGTGCTCTGCCAGGGTCTATGAGGCAATTCAAGATGAGAAATGGAACAGTGGCTTTGCAAAGGCAAATCATTCCAGCAGCACCTTCGAAACACTGGCGGAAACAAGCTCTTTTTGTGTGTGTGAAAATGGGAAATATATTGTTTTTTACTGCTTGGAAGACTGTTTTCTCATCCTCAAATCACAAGCTGTTTTCTTCCAGCGAGACTTATAAATACATCCAATTATCGACATTCAATATAGGAAATAAAGTTCTGAAATTGTTTTCTTCCATACACATGGAGTAGGGCCGCCGCATCGCACAGGTGATAATTACTTTTACTTCTCAAGAGTCTCAACAGTGCAGAGGGGCTGGCAGCTCCACCTTTTATTGCTTTCACCTTTATTACATTGCCCACGTTGCACTGGGCTATTCATTGACCTAACTTTATTACCCCATTCCAAGATCTTGATAAAAATGAATTAAATTCCTAATTTCAAATGTATGAGTGCCAAGTCCCAGAGCAGGAGGATCTGGTTCTACAGCTTGTGCACTAGAGAGAAACTCCCTGATGAGGGACAGTCTCTGACCCTCTGTCCCAGCTCTGGGCCTCAGAGCATCTCAGAAAGGACAGTGGGTCTCTGCTGACATTCATAACTGACCCGCTCAGGGACACCAATCAAGGTGACATTTTAAGAACGATGACCTCAGTCCAGCATAAAATCACCTAAGACTGTATCCCTGGAAGCCACTATCAAGACTGGGTCACCTATATCTCTTCCCTTTCCTGCTGGTATTGCTGCTGACCTCACGTTGTCTCCTTTTTCTTATTAAAACTTTGTGTTTCCTTTGAACTCTTCTCTCACAGTCCTTCCACAGCTCCTCTGTGTGACTGTAAAGCCCCCTGATACCTGGCTCCCTATCTGCAGTCTCTGCCCATTCTGAGCCCCTAGCTCATCAATCTGGCTATCTCTAGCAGAAGAGAGCTGCATTGGAAGGGTGTCACGTAACAAAGTTAGAAGGTGGGCTCAGAAAATAGACAGGAGTCAGGGAGGCTAGTGTCCAATTATACCACCAGGTGACACCCTAGGAGAATGGTAGCTGGTCCTACTGCCCAGACCCTTGCCACCGCCTCTGTCTGTGGGTACAGCCTTGGACTGACACAACATCCTGCCTTCAATACCTGCAGGGCCAAAGTCTTTGGTGAGCAGTGCAGCCAGCTGCAGAACCCAAATCTAATGCCCACATCCTGGCTGTCCTGTCTCTTTTGATCTCTTCTAGGAATGGGGATGGAGAGATAAGTATGTGGCACGTCTCCAAGTTCCATCCTCCAAATAAGAAGTGGTTAAAGTAGAGTGTGGGGTAAACATTTATAATCAGCACTTTAGAAAGCTGAGGCAGAAAAATCACTAGTTTGAGCCTAGTCTGGACAACTTGGAGATTCAGTGATATCCTGTCTCAAAAAAATTTTTAAAATAAAAATAAAAAATAAGATGTGAATATAGCTCAATGTGAGAGCCCTGGGCTCAATCGCCAGTACCCCAGATAAAAGTGTTTACACATTAGTAGTTATACACAAAGCCGTATACAGTGATACATCAGTTTGAAAGTACCAATACCCTTCAAATAAAACCTTGTAAAGTTTGTGCCTGAAAACTCATCTTGAATATTGCAATCTGAAAGATCAGAATGCAGTGATTTTCATTTCGCCAAAAGTGTGAGTTTCTTATTTCATGATTTAGTACAATTTTGTTTTTAGTGTACATGGGGAGGATATATAATTTTTGTGGGGATTTTGGGGGCAGGGACTCTTAAGCTCTTACCTGACTCTGCCTTTGGATCACTGCCAAGTGAGTATTCCCAAACTCCAAGTGCCCTGTTCAGACTTGTGTGTTAAGAAAGAAGTGTGAGGACTTTGAAGTCAGCAAACTGGGCTTACATCAGGCCAGGGAGGCATCTCTGGTCCTCATTTTCCTTGTTTGGAGGTGGGAACAAGGCGACTTTTGCTTCCTATATAAAGAAAGAAGTTCAGATGAGGCTTTGAATACCAAGGCCCTGGGGAACCACTTAACATGATACAAATACAAAAAAAAAAAAAAAAAAAAAAAAAAAAAAAGATGGAGCTGGTAATTTTCCTTATTGGGACACTCACTGTTTTTAGAGAACGTGGACACAATAGTGAGGAATGAGGATGTAAGAAATTAGATCTAGTTTTTAGATTTGCTATTTGCTGTGTGGCTTTGGAGAGGTTAACTAACTTCTCTGGGCCTCCATTTCTGCATTGGTAACATGGACATGGTAGAGGACCATTGACAGGGTTAGATGGGGGTGTTCGTACAAGACTCTAAGCTCAGACCTTGGCTGGTGATGGTACCATCCTTATTTCAGAGGTCTGGGAGAATTGAGGAGGGGAAGGAATTAGCCCTATGTCCTCCAGATGTAAAAGTGAGGTCACCCTAGCTCTGCCCACTCACCAAGCAACCTTAGCCCAAAGGAGTGATTCAGTAACCCCAGGCCAAGACAGCAAATGCTCAGCCCCTCCATAAGACTAGCAGGGCCCTGAGGCTGCCACGCCACCTCAGTCACAGTGGCAGCCCAGCCAAACAGTGAGATGTTGAAGGGGTGCAGGGACACAAAAGTGAGATCGGGGAGGCTGCAGAGAGTGTGTTTCTACTGCACCCAGGACCTCTGGCCCAGCATGTGGCTTCAGCCCACACAGCTCTGCACGTACGTGTGAACTTGCAGGCAGGAATGAGTGTCAGCAAGGAGGTTTTTATGGAGGGGGAGGGTTTACAGACAAACAGTAGATTGCAAAACTGACCTCAAATTTATCTCCTGGCCACACCTTTGTGTCTTGATCTTCCCACCCCTCCCATCCAGAGGTGGGGTCTAGTTCTCCCCTGACCCTGGCAGGCTGTAGCCACTTGATTTACTTTGGGTAATGAGGTGGCAAAGCAGGGACCGTGGAAGGTGCTCACCCACCCAGGCTTACCCTCTTGCCACTCTTGGAAGCCCTGCCACTGCCACCATGGGAGAGCACCCTAGCTAGCCTTCCAGAGTTTAAGATCCCTAGTCAGGAGCCAGCCAAGCAGCAGACACATGGGCCAGTTTGGATTATCCAGCCTCCAGTCGGCCCGACAGCTGCCTGCAAAACCATGAACAAATCCAGCAGAGCCCAGCCGGCTGGTGCAGATTCCTAGCCTACATCAGTGGTTGTTTTTCATTTGTGAAATGAAGGGGTCTGTTATGGCACAAGCATAAGTGACTCAGAGAAGAAGAAAGAGACCCTGAGCTACTACTCTAGAGAGATGGCCATGGGCAGATGCTACAGGGCTGTTTTCACACGTTTTCTGGGAGGTGCAGGGCCGCTGGGGCACTTGTGTGGGCTCTGGGGAGAAAGTGTGACCTTCACACTACCTAATTGTAGAGTGCAGCTCAGCCTCTGTGTGTAGAAGACTGCAGGCCTCGGATTCTTCATGAGCATTATGTGGTTGCTCTGCCTTGAAGGCATGTTACCAGAGGGCGCTGGCTCTCAGGGGAGTTGCTTCCAGGTTCTTGGTATCCTGAACAAAGGATAGAGCAGGACACTTAAAAAAATTGATGAGATTTATTAAAAGCAAAAGGACCAAAGTTATGCTCCTTATGGTGGAGCTGGCCCAGACAGGGGCAGGTTCTGGGTCTCTTGAGATACAAGGATTATGGGATAATTCATAACTGGGGATTGACAGGAGTCATGGCCCAACATGGTACCTGACTTGGCCCACCTGTCTGGAGGGGGAGTTTTTGACCAAACAAGATTCCATGTGGCAGTATCATGGCATCCAAAGCCCACAGGAGTAGGTAGGTAGGGAGGTGGGGGATGCGTGTCGAAAAATCCACTATGCAAATGAGGTTGAACAAAAGCTAGGGTCATGTACTTTTGGTTCTGTGCATACCTGGGGGCTTTGAGGGACACGAGAACCTTTATCTATTGGTTTACTGATGTTTTGACAGAGGCATCCTTACTCTGGCTGGTTTCTCCAGTCTTGCCCCATAACTTCCTGCTGTATCCTTGTCCTGCTGTACATCCTGCTTCAGCAGTGCCCCACCATAGACATCTGAGGGGCTGCAGGGAGGCAGGCAGTGGAGTGGAAAGGTGGTGCACGAGGGGGACTTCCTGGGCTACGTAGATTTAGAGTGCAGTGAGCTTCAGTTAGAATCCTTCCAGGGACCCCAGGAATACCTGGAATGGAAGAGTTCACACAGACTGGAGAGTCCAATTAAATCTGAAGGAGTTTGTGGGTGGAACCATCGGTGCACCACATGGCAGTAAGCCTAGCACAGAAACTCAGCCCACACAGATGGAGGGTGGAAACCAAGGCTGGCCAGGAATACCCAGAGCAAGGGATTGTACTGGATAGATAACTTGGAGGGGCCAGTCAGTGGGGACGTTCATATCTAGGCTGCTGTTGATCAGACAGAATAGGACCTTACAGAAAGCCAGGCATAGTGCAGAAGGCAAGAGTTGCTATTGCCAGAGTCACACACCTTCTTCATCTCACTGAGGACAAGGGTCCTAGAGTTGAGACACCTGCCCATGACCAAGGCTTGGACTGTCCAAGCAGAGCAGCCCACCCTACCTCCATAGCACTAGCTCCATAACTCCAAGCACCAGCTATGAATAACTGGCACCTTTAAAGAAGATTCATTGATAACCAAGGAGTTGCCAGTACCATTCCTGGCTGGTCTCCAAATCAGTTGAGCACAGTGAGCCAATGTGATTCTTACTCTCTTCTCTATCCCTTTCTGGACATTCAGCTCAAGCAACCTTTGGGGAAATTACAATTTTATTTCCAGATCTCAAACACCAGTTTCACACTCTACATTTAGGGCTGGAGGGAAAATGGACTGGACATCATCTGACAGCAGTAAGATCAGAAGCAGGTGTCCCAGCCTAGAGGGCTCTTGCAAAGAGTCCTCTCATCTCACAGCCCAAATAGCAAATCTGCCTACGGGGCCAGCTGTGTGCCCAGCACAAGTCCTCTCCCAGCTTCTCTCGCTGGGTGAAGCAGGTGGCTGGCTGGTGGCTCAGAGGCTCAGCACCAGTGCCCTTGGGGTTGGGCAGCTAAGCATTTCTGCACAGAGATGGGGAGGAGAAGGAATCTAAAATCTCTACTGAGTGCCACCTCTGCCTGAAGAGA